CGCTGTCAAAAGCTTTCCAGTGACACCCAATACACCTCAATAAAGCAATAATAAAAAATTCACTCACTAAAATCTGTCAGAAAGTATCTAAAATTAGGAGCCAGAAATTCATAGCTGGTGTGTAGCTTGAAGCTAACTGTTCCTGAATCCCAAGCCAGGATAAATGCTTAACTTCCAAACGATACAGAAGTTTCTTGTCCATACTAGCACAATGCCAAATCCAGGCTACTAATCTCTACTGAAAACCTAAAGTAGTGCTGTGGCTCCGGCTTTGGATCTCAGACACCATTAGGTTTCTTCTGACTAAAATATATCATGCAAACATATCCTTAGATGCTACAAACTGCATAGAATGGTTGCTGTTTTGTGTGAGTGAGCCAAGCAGATTTAGTCTCTATGGGTCACACATTGTGATACATGGAAAATCTTTACAGTTAGTCTTCAGTTTATCCTCTCAGTTTATCCTCTACTAAGATGAATGTAAAATCACATCTGTAAGCTCAGAGTTGTCTTAAGCAAAATGATGTTTTCTGGAAATGTACTTCTGATATAATAATATATAATAAACTTTTCAAAAGTGTGAACTGTTCACAAGAGAAATGGAAGAGATGTTAAAATTCACATTTACAAACCTGACCAATATCAGCTGTTGAACACTCTTAACCTCGATACAGTAATCATGTGGTACCAACTGATAGTAACAGTACAAGCAGAAAACATGGAGATTAAAAAGTAAACCACATATTCTTGAAATCTGTCCAATTATCTGTCCAGAGTAACAAATTAAAACAACGTAAAAACTTTATGGAGGCTATTGTGAAGCAAATGGCCTAACCTAAAGATCTGAAGGAAAATTACTCCCCCCCAACTTTCATACCTTACATCCAGTAGCTTTTGGAGCTCTGATCAGTTCTTAAATAAGCAGATAGAGCCATAAAGAGTTAGGAAAAAGCTGTAATGTGAGACCTTTGAAAGGTTAGTTTCACTCCTTTAGACAAGGATCCTCTCTGTTTTGATTGCTGTGGTGCATCACAGGACTGATAGCAATAAGACAGACCATGTGAGGCACAGCTTGGCTGTAAAGTTCATCCTGTAATGGGAAACAGGGTCATAATGCACCTGAAGTGTAGTTCCTGTGAGCTGCCAGGGCAAGCTCAGTAGGTACAGATTGCTGTCAAAACAACCCAAACAAAGTACACAGGAACTTCCCATTCCACCTGGGAGAGCAATAACTTTAACATTCTACTCAGTTTTGGAGTATCTTTTATATTGTGCCATTGACCTTGCCTGTAGAATGGACATAATGAATTTTAACTAGGAAATGAAGGAATAAACTTGCCAAAATATTCTTGCTTAATAATGACTTTAAAATGAGCACAGTAAGAATGGTGTTAAGGCATTCATGTCATGGATGTTACTATATTTACTTATAGTTCTAGAAAATATTAATACGCTATATGTATATAATATATATGCTTGTCCTGGGCTCAGCTACAGAAGGAGAAAAAATGACCGCTGTAGCTGAGCCCAGGATAATGCTATATATATGTATATAATATTAATATGCTACATGTATATAACCTCAAATAACTAAGATTCCCCCAACCAAAAAAAAGAGAAAGAAATAATAATAAAAAAAGGGATTAAAGAAAGTCACCAGAGTATACAGTGATGTAATTTTACTCTTCATTTTCATGTTTATAAAGAATCAGACTTTAAGATGTGATAGTTTTTTTAGTTTTAGCATATATTTCAGAGTCAGAAAAAAATAAAATTTCTGAACTATTAAGACAAGTTCAGATGTGACTTAAAAAGTAAGTCAATGAGGCTCTTGCATTTTCTCTTAGAAACAATGCAATGAAAAGGGAACAAACCATACAACTATCATCATTCAAGTGGCAACAATGGATCTGACTCTGCAGCAGCCAAAATGTTTTTTAAATCGTGCATTGCTAGGATTAATAAGAACTGAAAAAGAAAGAAGATGATCTTTCTCTTCACTATTTGCATGTAACTCAGTTGCTCCCGTTGTTTTTCTTGTAGGAGATGTTCCTCATCAGCCTAAACCGTTGGTTTCAGTATCTTTTCCCAGGGTGATGTAGGACATTAACTGTTGCTTTTACTGAAATGAAAATGAGATGACAGGAAGAACATTAAAGTGGTCTTTTAATTTCATCTTCAAAGATGAGAAATAAACACAACATGCTCATGCATGGCTTCCTATAGGGATATTGTGCTGGAAGTTCTCTGAAGAATTAAGACTGAATCTATCTTAGCGGGGAGTAGGGTCCTATTTGCTATTCCAGGAAAGCGCTTTGGCTTACTGTCTATAAATCAAAGTAACTTCAGCCAGTTACAAGAAAGCTTGCAAGCTTACAAAAGTCTTCATAATGAAATAGTGAGATGGTACAGTTATGCATATTTAGATACATACAAAGCACCTCCCTGATCAAACAGTATGAGGAAAACCAATCTCAACTGCATGGGATTTTAAGATGTTAATCTGAAGACAATACAGAAAAATGGCTCTTCATCAGGCTTCCTTGGCAGAGGTAGCACATACATGAGCCAAATGTTCCTATTGTGCCTGTGAGTTTACAAGGAAACTTGTCTTTTGTGATTTTGCATTGTTAAAAAGGCAATTTGTACATGTATTTATCTGACAGCAGACGCTGTCATCTCACTTTAGTTCCTTAATCTGCTACTAAAAACAGCTTTATTTTTCTCTTTCTGATAAAAAATAGCAAGGTGTATTTATTATGTACAGGTCTCTGTGTTAAAATAAGTTATTTTAACGTTGCAGATCTTCCAACTACTGGCTCAACCGCATCCAGTCCTTTCTCTACTGCAATGAAAATGGCCTTCTGGGAAGCTTTTCTGAAGAGACTCACACATGCACCTGCCCTAATGACCAAGTTGCTTGCCATGGGTTCCTTCCCTGCACAGTTGGAGATGGCTCTGCATGTTTGAGCTGTGCTCCTGACAATCGCACCCGCTGTGGGAGCTGCAATGCTGGCTACATGCTGAGCCAAGGGCTTTGCAAGCCTGAAGTGGCAGAATCGACAGAGCACTACATTGGGTTTGAGACTGACCTTCAGGACCTGGAAATGAAGTATTTATTACAGAAGACAGACAGGAGAATTGAGGTCCATGCCATTTTCATCAGCAATGACATGCGCCTCAACAGCTGGTTTGATCCTTCTTGGCGCAAGCGGATGCTCCTTACTCTTAAGAGTAACAAGTACAAGTCTAGCCTGGTTCATATGATACTGGGCCTTTCTCTTCAAATTTGCCTAACTAAAAACAGCACCTTAGAGCCCGTTCTTGCTGTTTATGTCAACCCTTTTGGGGGCAGCCACTCTGAGAGCTGGTTTATGCCTGTGAATGAAAATAATTTCCCAGACTGGGAGCGGACTAAACTGGATTTACCACTTCAGTGTTATAACTGGACACTGACTCTGGGCAACAAGTGGAAGACTTTTTTTGAAACTGTACACATCTATTTGAGAAGTCGAATAAAGTCAAATGGTCCAAATGGCAATGAGAGCATCTACTATGAACCCCTGGAATTCATTGATCCCTCAAGAAATCTGGGCTACATGAAAATCAATAACATCCAAGTGTTTGGCTACAGCATGCACTTCGACCCAGAAGCAATTCGAGACTTGATTTTGCAGCTGGACTACCCCTATACTCAGGGATCACAGGACTCAGCACTTTTGCAGTTGTTAGAGATACGGGATCGTGTAAATAAACTCTCTCCACCTGGTCAGCGTCGTTTAGACCTCTTCTCTTGCCTGCTCCGTCATAGACTCAAACTGTCTACCAGTGAAGTGGTGAGAATTCAATCTGCTTTGCAGGCCTTTAATGCCAAATTGCCAAACACAGTGGATTACGACACAACCAAATTATGTAGTTAACCATACATGTGAAGCACAACACAAAACCTTGAAAGAGTTTTTACAGTGCTTTTGTGGAACAGTTTATGTTTGGAAAAGTAAATTTAAATTGTCTTTTCAATATCTGTCTTATATCAGTCAATACTGTTGGATGGCAATTTACACACATGAACTTGCTGACAATGAATATGTTATACCTGCAGTCTTGGTTTATGAATGAAATAAATACTGACACCAGTCTAGAAGACATTCTACTTTTTACAATAAATTTCATTTGTAATTTTATATGTTCCGTGGCAATGCTTTTGTGCATTACATTCTCTAGAGGGAACATAGAAGGATACCAATAAAATTTTGTAGCTGAACAGTTATTAAAAAGAAATGCCGTGGGATTCTTTTTTCTTACACAAAAGTAGTAACCTTGATACACTTTTGTGTGTGTTTAACACAGGAGCTGTGGATAAAGGGAAGACAGTGACTCAAGATTTTAACAGGAACTGTAGAGAAGTCAGAGCCATAGAATATTTTGTTATGATGTGGATCTAAGTGTTCATGCTTAGCTTAAGCAATGACTGTAGAACTTTACTTGCTACACCTCAGACTTTCCTAAGACATACCCTTTTCAAGGTGCTTCACATGACATACAGACTTCCAGAGTAGTAATATTGAGCGTTTTAGAATGGACAGGAGGTTAGATTTGCGAGATGCAGTACTGAAAGGTTGCATTAGCTGAATAGAAGACAGGTAAGAGACTGCCTATGCAATGGATATTACTCACATTACAAAAAAATTCACCTGTCCCAGCACAATCTCTTTTGCTTTGCATATTTATAGGAAGAAGTAAGCACATGTATACATTATCTCCTCCTAAATACACACACTATATTATTTTTCCAGAATTATCTGTTTTGAACTATTTACTTAAATACTATCCATGCTGAATAGATTCAAATTAATTTAAAAAAATTCCCTGACAATGCAACTGTTTACTGTGAGAATATTTTTTTTCATAGGTACAGATAATTTCCTTTCAGTGAAAGCTTTTTCAGTTTTAAAAAATATACCCTTTTACAGATACACAACAACTATTGAAATCTAGTTTATAAAGCTGAAAGTGCAAATAAATATGTCATTATCAATTAATGAAATTAATTAAATGTGCATGACAGTGGATCAGAATTAAATTATTTGGCATTTTACACATTTCAGCAGAAAAAAAACCCAAACATCTGAGATGGCAGAACTTGGGACTCTCAAGAAGGTTTTGCTATCTCTTGCAAGAGAATAGAATAAATAGCTGGCCTGTCAGAAACCCTTGTTAGTAAACACAGGATAAAATGAGGGAAATTGATACAAAGTCTTTCAGTAGCACCTCCTTCTGTTAATTCTGATTCTGTGTCATTGATGTAAAAGCCAATTTGTTTTTTTTTTAAATAGGGAGGAATTACATTTAAAACTACAATTTTACATGCAAGCACAGAAAGAAAAGACTCCATATGTAATTCATATACAATTTTAATTCAACTAGACTTCAATTACTTTCAATTAAATTCAATGTTATTAATTTCAATGTAGCTATATTAAATTTGATTCTGAATCTGAATTTAAGGACCACTTCATTTCTGTCTAGACCACAGCAGCACAAAAAATGCATCGCAATGCTTCATAAATATATGTAGGCAAGATAAATACAAGGCCAAAAAGACTTCAGAAAGTGTACTGCTAAGGAAAATCTTCTTTTCTTTAGTGATTCCTCTCTCTCCTGATTTCACCAAATATTTATAAAGATCACTACTTCTCCATTCCACATTTAGATCGTTCCTCAACCTTCTATACTAGGAAGCCCCTAAAATCAGCATTTTTTCCTTGCATCCCACCTCTATATGGATTCGTGTTTGTTTTCTTCTTAAAGTTTTCTTTTGCTGATGAATAATGTATCTCAGCCTCTCTTCTATGTGTCCAAGTTTTGGCTTGCTCTTGCATGGGTAAGACCTCCTCAGTCAAGGTTCTTACTATTCCTGTTTTCAGCTACAAGTCTTTAGTTTGGTACATCCTTGGCAACTGTGTATCTTGTGTAGTCTTTTTAAATAAACAAAAGACTATGGTGTTATAAAAGGAAAAAAAAGAAAAAAATAAAATCATTTTGTGTTCATAGAAAGTAAAAAGTTACAGCAGAGGTGTGGGGCAATGATAAATAAAACATTTGCTTATGTTATCCCTTCACTTGGGAAAAATGTTAATATGACATGGTAAATGAGCTGAGTTTCCCCTCCCTTTTTATGCTCCTTCCTAAAACAGTTCCTCAATGACTATTTTTAATTTCTGGCTTGGTTTCCCCCCCCCCCCCCCCTTATTGTTTTATTCATTTATTTATAGATTCATATATTTACTTTTTAATACTGAACTGAATTCAATAAAGATAAACATAGAAGGTAAAAAAAAAAAAAAAAAAAAGAAAAAAGTCCCAGTATTTATCTGGTTCACAAATTACAAACAAGAGCCAACAATATTTCCCTTTTGATACTTCTCCAATTGAAATTTATGTTCTCAAAAAGAACTTCAGGGTGTACAAAGAAAAGAGAAATCTGGATGTCAGAACAGTCAAGCATTTAATCCATAAGAAAATTTTGTAGTAAGATATGAACAAAATTGTTGGTAAGAAAGAACTGTGGCTACAACTATGTACACTCATTTCCATCCGTTGCAGATAATATTTAGTGTATGTAGTACATTGGATTGACTCTGGTCCATTTCCCTTTGCATTCACTAATACTGTTATTACCTGTCATTATAAACTGAAAAAATCCTAAGGAAATTATAGTAAGATATAGAATTGTACCATGATAACCTAAAACAGTATTCAGAACAAACTTTAGTGACTATAATAGCCAGGTAGATATTAAGTATAACAGAGTAACCTTCCTGCTTAAATGAAGGCAGCTGTTATCTGATACAAAACTCTCATAACACTATTTTTCAACTAAGTACAATTCAGATCATATCTAAAGGCTGGGAGCCAAACTAGTGTCTAGAAATTCTATTGCAGGAACAAACTGTAATAATGATAGGCTACTTTATCAATGCCTAGAAACCAGAATTTGGCTTGCCAGAGTGATCTAAACCTCTGTGTGACAAAATTCAGAATATAGAGGCTGAATCAAATCATATTAAAAGTATCATGGAGATGAATAAACTTTCATTTCTATCATTTCCTCATGAAAAGATAGAGGTTGAAAGAAAGTGTGTTGAAATTCTAGTGGCTGAAGGCTGAGAGAGGTGTACTTGCATTTCCGGGTGTTTCTTCCTTTGCCACAGAACACTTACACCTATACAAATATTAGGAGGAAGAGACTTTGATTCCAAAAGTATGCATATGCTGACTGCATTTGTTGTGAAAGTGCTTATTCAGCAGACACTGAGTCAGTAAAGAGGCAAAAGTCAAGAGAAGTCAGTTTTTCACAGGCTGAGTAAGCAGCCCAGCAGCTTGAGCTGGAGGGAGGACAGAGTCATGAAGTAGGGTGCTACAACTATTAGAAGGTCATTAGCTTGAAAATACAGCACATATTCAAGGTACAAATCAAAATACAGCACAACAGCAAAGAAGAAAAGTGATCAACACTGACATCACTATTCTACTGAGCTATATCTAAACTTTTGAGTCCTGTCTGGCAGTAGAGCTGCGAAATCAAATAGGTAAATGTGATATGGTGAAGGATTAGTCTCTTACAATCCAGCAGCTATTGTTTCTTTGACAGGGAGATGACAAATTCTTAACTATAGCTTGCACTAGCACAGTCAACATCATGAATGGGAGCATGGTGCAACAGAGCCTCCTGCCAATATAGCTAGAGAGCAAGCAGGAAGACAAGGAAAAATGGAGAGAAGGAAGGAACGAGGATTCATTTTACTAGGCTTTTACAAGTGGAAGAGAGCCCCTATACTCCACTGTAGTTCAAACAAGAGACCACACCTTGGGTCTGGTAGGAATTTGGTAACAAGAAATGTTATGGCTCCTTTTTTATGATTATCAGTGACCTGAGAGAGCTTGACACCACAGCTAGTATAGTTATTACCACAATACACAGCTGCTTGAGACTTACAGTACAGACAGATGATAGAGCTGCATGACTGACTTTGGTTCTATTAACTCAACTTCATATTCTAAGCAAGAAATCTATTCTAGATGTAGCATAGTAATCTAATGTTCTTCTGCACACAGATATCACTTATGAAGCAACCTATAACCCTGAGGCATGGTGTATATAATGTTAATTTATCCACATGACAGAAGAGTGTATGGCTTTCTGGCATTCCAGGCAGAGTGGCCACACTGCAGATTACACTGCTTTGGGAGTGAGTGCTTGTGGAGGAGCAGGAGTCATAATTTATCTCTTTCCTTGCCAAACCAACATGATTAAGGGATGAATTATGATTAAGGGAACGGTTTTACCTCCCATAAGTGGTGCAAGTTTTTCCTTCCCTACAGATTATTTCTTGGATGGCAATGTGAAACTAAAGCTATCAGTGTCACTCGTCAACACACTTAGGTATTCCTCTTTATTTTATGGTACACTTTAGTCCAACATATGCACGTATGAAAGAGGAATACAGCTAAATGACAATGCTAGTAACAATAGCTGATGCAGGGTTTTCTGCTCTCTGGGCACAGTTGCACGAATTATCGTATGTCTACTTACAATCTCTTCAACATATAGTAGAGGGTGCAGAACCACCTAGCAGGCAGAGATGGTTTTGCTCTGAAAACCATACTCCCCTGAGAGGGTCTAAGCCAGAGCGTGACCACCTTTCAAAAACATTGCAAGAGCTTTCTCTTTTTTAAAACAGGCTTTACGTCATTTCTCAGATGACATAAGAGGGGAAAGGGAAGAGGAGGATTAAAACAGCTAGGCGTGTGCATATCGAACTATAATTCTTCTGTGGGGAAAGGAGTAGAACAAAGAATCTTTGAAGTCCCTTTGGGATCTCATCGCAGCCGCATACCTCACTCTAAGAGCACTTACATACAATAGGCATAAATGCTAAAGAAGACCAGAAATACAAAGATTAGGTATGATTTCTTAGCATGAATATGACACAAGAAAATTGCTCATAATTAGTTTTGAACACAGAAAATGTCATTTTAAAGACTGTGCCATAGATTAGACAGTAATTCTATAGTGTATCAGTGATCTGAGAATGATTTTTGTTTTAAACTGGTTTTGTTTCACTGGCATTCTATGATTTGCTCTATTGCTGTCCAATGCTTAAGATTTCATTACCAAAATCAGTATTTCTTGAGGGGACTAGCTGGATAGGATTATATATGAAAGTTCTTGTCTAACAGCATTTCCTGGGTTTGGTGGGGGGAGGA